GGGGGGGGTGTAGTCACACTTCTTGTCATGTCGGTGAAGCCTCCATGATTATTGTTTTTAAACCCCAACAATCACACACACACAACTCGTGACAATTTGTGATTTTTTTCCACCCACGCTCTGCCAATTATTTTCAACCACCACAAATGAAATAGAATAGAATAGAAACCCTTTTTATTGTCATATACAAATGGATCTCTAAAACATCAGAAATCTCCAATTTAAATGGAAGAACAGTTTTCATTTTGTCTGATGCTGTCACTCAGGCTTTCTCTGTAACCATCAGACAATGCTACTGCTAAAACAAAGCTACTTAATCAAGAGACATAACCTGTATTGGAACAGAAATCCCTCTGCTGACTGAATGAATTATTGGCTAATGAACCCTCCTTGTTTTGAACAAAGACATTCAATAAAGAGACTCACTAAAAGAAGCAACAAGAGGGGGATGACCAAGCCGAGGTATAAAGAGAGAGAACCGCTTGCACCACGCTCTGAAAATGAACAGTGTGACGATACTGCCAGAGAGTTTTGTCTTGATCCTCGTTGGTAGAGTGAGATTACAAAAATAACACGATAGTTTATGTTGAATAAGATAATGCCTCAATTGCATATTTAACAATTCATTTTCAGAGCACCTGTAATACAGGTAATCAACTGGGGAAGTTTCATAGTGATATTCATTTGTTCATTATTTACCCTATACCTAAATGTAGAAATTGATTCCAACAATTCCTCTGATTAGTTTAGTCAGACTTTTCATTCATTATAAAACGTGATCCAGTTGTCTGTTACAACCATAGACTTTATTTAAGACGTGGACGTAGTCATCGTGACATCACTCATAGGTTTGTGGACTGCCGTTTTGAAGTCTTGAGTTTGGTGATTTCCCCGTCGCCATGTTGTTATTTCGCAATCAATGAACGGAAGTTACCATATTTGGAATGTGGAGGAGTGAGTAAGATATGCCCGCCCTAAAGCATACCCTGCTTTATGGTCTATTTGACTCTAAATGGACCATCATTTACTAAATGAACATCATGCTGCATTGAAGAAGACTTGAAACTAGAGATTGAGACCATAAACTCATGTTTACAATGTTTACTGAGGTAATAAATCAAGTGAAGCCCCGAGCGGCTGGTTAAGACGAGTGAGGAGTCAGCAGTCAGTGACACTATAAAACGATCAGGATTTTTGGGTTTTTCAAAAATTGCGAATCACCGCAAACAAAAGAGGTTGTGAGTTTAAGATTGGCCGGGGACCGACAGACAGACCACGCACACACTCAACCAAACTCATCTTCCGGCGAAGATAACAATCCACTTAAGGTATTCCCTCGAGTGTGGATTTGTCTTTGTAATGACTCTCAGTTTTTAAACACTAATTATCTTTAAAATATTTGTAGTTTAAAACCACTATGTGTAGACTTTCACAAATTGCAACTTTGATAGTATCAGAAAAGGCCGTGTGGTAGACAGCCATGCATGCTTCTACAGTTCTCACCCCACAGAAGAAGAGCTAACATAAACCACAGCAAACAAAAACATAAAAGTAAAGAAAATAGTGTTTTTAACTAGAATTGACAATATCCTGTGTTGAAGTGACTCCTGTCCTCTCCCTTTCCCCTGCAGCTGTGTATGCCTAAAGGCCTGTCGTTCAGGACTCAAGCGGACCAGCACGACCCGCAGTTCCACTCCTTCATCATCACAAAGGAGGACGGCTCTCGGACCTACGGGTTCGTCCACACCTTCTACGAGGAGGTGAGCAGCCCGCAGATCTGCTCCGCCATGCAGACCCTCTACCAGATGCACAACACGCAGAGTGCCACTGCCAACACCCCTTCCTCGTCCTCCTCCTCCTCCTCCTCCTCCAGCATGGACTCCCTGGCCAGCAGTTTGGACGAGGCCGACCCCTGCACTTCCTCGTCCCGCCGGGCGGGCGGCTACGACTCATCGCGGGACACCCTCTATGTGTCCAAGGCCCTGTGCCTGATCGTGCCCATGCCCTTCATGCATGCCTGCCGACGCTTCCTGTCGCAGCTGCACAGGGCCGTGACGTCAGCCACCGCCCCCCCGCTGCCGCTGGAGAGCTACGTTCACAACATCCTGTACGAGGTGCCGCTCCCAGCTCCGGGACGCTCGCTCAAGTTCCACGGCGTGTACGAGCCCATCGTGTGCCAGAGGCCCGGCCTGGGGGAGCTGCAGCTGGCCGACTTCCCCCTCGCCGAGGCCTTTAGTCTGCTGGGAGTGGAGAACCTGATCCAGGTGTTCACCTGCACCCTGCTGGAGATGCAGATCCTCCTTTACTCTCGTGGTAAGGACACTTGTGATTAAAGTCAGCATATCAGACTTATCTTAGCACCGTCAGGCATTTTTGTACACTTGCAAACACACACAATAGCAACTGGGTTAATTAGTTGGAATTTCCCTTTTTTCTTTTTTTTTTTTCTTTTTTTTTTTGATCCGGAGTAAGGACAAGGAAATTATACATTGTTTCCTTTTTTGTTGTCATCCGTTATTACAAACATCAAGCAGTGTAAACATGAAATCATGCAGACTGACAGGTAACTCACTCACTGTACAGTTTGGTGATGTCATAGTGCATCATCAGCACTACATTGGCACAGGATTAATAGTAAAGACTGGACCTCATAAAATTGAATGACACTGAGGAAAAAGCAATATGAAGAAGAGTGTACAGGAATGTTGGGGATAGAATAGTTTGTCGAATTCACTTATTTTTTTATAGTGATTATAAATCTTAATTGTACAGCACAATATCACAAATTCCAAATTGTCTCAGCGGGCTTTACAATCTGTACAACATACTGTTGAAGACCTCTGATCTACAGCAATGCATCATATTCTATAAGATCATTGTATGTTTGTAGTGTCAGTACAGTACATTATTTATCCTCTGAGATGTAGTGAATCTGAAAACCATCTCTATATCCTAGCGTCTGTGTCAGAGTGATATCCGTCCGTTTCAAAGACGAGGATTGTAACCAATTAGTTGTAGTGATACAATGGCAACTGTGTCCACCCACTTAGTGTCAAAAAGAAAAACTAGACTCGCAAGTGAAAGTTCCGCGAGCAGAAGAGCAGTGATGGAGATCATAGAGATCCGTTTATTGGCAGTGTGAAGCCGGCGCAAGGCACGTGCCAGAAAATGCACATGGTCACGGCGCTTTGTCATGCACCTCTGAATTTTCGTAACATGCCGATATTCAACCTGTTTCTCTATAATGCATGTAATACTTCACTTGTTTCTTTACAGGGCTTATATAAAGGCAATAAAATAGTCCATGAATATGAGATATGAATCAACAGTTAATTACATTCCCTCCTCGGCATTGAGGAGGTTGGTTTATGGCGTTTTGCCGGTTACACTCGTTGCCTTTTCGATTGTTCACAGCACTTTTTTTTGTACACCCTCTGGCATTTTGGAGAATAATGCAGCGCAGAGTATAAATGCCTCCGTTCATGCTCGGAGGCTCGCACTACGGCGCCAAGCGAGTACAAACAAAGCTGTATCAGTTATTCTGCTTACCAACACAGATGCAGCATGGAGGCAATTAAGGTACTTTAAAACCAATAGCATGTGATAGCCACAATTTGGATCAAAATTAGCATTACTTCTCTGCAATGGAAAGAATAAGAACAAGAGTGACAAAATCCATTCATATCAACATATTTCATGTTGCATTATAAATCTTTACCAGCCACAGCAATGTGGGACTAGTATTGTTTTCACCTTGTGAGTTTGTGTGTGAGTCGTCATGGCAGAATCTGGTCCTGGAGACGACTACTGTAGCAGGAACTACCACAGAGGAGGACTTTTCTAGGTGTTTGTCTGTGTAAAGATGTCTCACTGCGATAGCATCACAGCCGTTTAAGGTGCAGTCACAAAACGTTAAAGGTGTGTAGTTGAGATTAAAATGAAGGTCCCGTTGAGGTGAACTGTGCACAGCTAGGTTTCCCTTCATCCATTATTTGTTTGACTCCCTCGGTGTCACTGCTCCGGTCTGCTCTACAGAGCATTTTGTAACACTCTCTGTTTGTTTAGCTTCTGTGCCGGATGAGTCATGGAAACCCCAAAATAAAACCATGCATGTACGGTAGTCTGCAGCATGCATAGTGCATACAGTATGTGGGCCCGTTCCTGTGGTGCAGACCCATTGCAAGAGGTGAACAAGTGAAATCACAATGCTGGTGTTTGAAATGGGTGAGCTAACTCGGCATCAGTCTGAATCAAGACGTGCGGCTGTATATCCTTCTGAACTGTGTCTGTTAAATGAGTACATTCATCATGGTTAATGGAGTTCTGATGCAGAATACCGGTCATAGTATTATACTATTATGTCATAGTATTACAAACAACGGTGCAGACTTTTGGCATCTGAGAAGGCTCCAAACTTCTGGACCTGGGAGACTATGAAGTGAGTGCTTTGACATGCAAGGCGAGGATCAGGTGACTTACAGCAGGCCCCTGTAAGCTTTGTAACCTATTGTGATCTTCCAGCCCACACACTTGTGAGTTTGATGATGCTATAAGGTTTTTTTTTAAGAAGAAGTTCAAATGGACACATTCCAATAGGAAGTCACTAGTGAAAATGATGCTTGTAGTCTTTTTGTTTACAACAGTAGCATTAATTTGTTCCATATAATTTAGCTATATTGTTTGTTCTATATGGAGACATTCTGAACAGAGCTGTTAGTAAATATTTTGCTTGGAAACAGACTCACACATTTATGAATTTAGGGGGAAATTCTTGTAAAAGTAACTTATATTTATCCTTAAAGGGGTACTTTGGGGTTTTATGAAATACTAATCTATAGTCTGTATTACCTACAATAAGCCCTCTGAGACAAATTTGGGATTTTGGGTGATACAAAATATATTGAATTCGATTCCAGCCTCTCGACCTTTGTTGGATGTCATACCATTTCCATTTCAACTAAAGTCAAAAAATGGCCACAAAAATGGCCTTGACTAGGGAAAAAAAAAGTTGAGAACCGCTGGTATTGGTGTTCTATTGAACTTTGGACAAAGCCACGCCAGCTGTTTTTCCCAGTTCATAGTCTTTATGCTAAGCTAGGCTAACCACATCTCTGTATTTAATGCACAGATATGAGATTGATATCAACCTTCTCATCTTGGCTTGTGTAACTGAAAGTGTACAGCCCAAAATACAGACATATTCTGGTTAGCATCAACTCTGAATAGCTAGAAAAACGGTGACCAACAAGATGCTGCATCAGGTGAACATCCATCCACCCGCCCATACTGTTTGGATGATGTTGACAGAGAAAAAACTACAGTAATGATCACATGGCACCAAAATGTCATATTGAAAAAAACAAGTCAGACGTCTCATGAGTTTGGACTGTATATTTACTAAATTTCAGGATATTTGAAGCAAAAAAAGATAACAAATGTTAACTGAAACAGTCTCAGTGGACCTCTCCATGTCATCATCGGGAATCTCCATTGGCCTTCAGCCCGGCTCTGACTGTGTGACACGTATGTCCAAACGAAGCCTCATTTGTTGGTAATGAAGGGGGAAAAAACCTACACGGAGCGTCCTTTGGCTGGAGGCAGGAGATGGAATGGTTCAGTTTAGGGGAAATGAGAAGCAGTCATGACCATATGTTCCCACGCTGCGTCTAATCTATCAACAAGCAGTTACACCATGACAGATAGAGGCATCATCAGCCCCCCTACCTGTCCTCACACACTTATCGGCTGTGACAGGGATAGAAAGTGACAGGCAAGGTACTCCTCCAATTATGGGGTACGGTGGGGGGCTGGGGGTGGTGCATGCAAGAATATAATTTTATGGTAATCAGTGTAGTTCATTTACATTCCTGGCTGCCACACAACTAGTGTGTACATGCTGATAGAAGCTGCTCTTAGGAGGTGTCTTACTTACTACTACCAGTATTTAGCCCAAAGCATATGGTATGTTTTTCATGCTTTGGGCTACACCCCTCAGTTTTGATAGAGGGAAAACTTCATGCTGAACCATGTATTGATATTAAGACAACAGTTTGTTTCCAACTTTGTTTGCGATTGTCTCTTTCCTGTTTCAACATGAGGTTTGAAAGCAGATCCATAGATAAACAGTTTTCCCAGTTGGGTGTGGTAGAACTTGACTGACCTGCACCTCACCTCAGCCCCATCCAACTTGGGATGTTCTGGAACACCAAATGGGAGCCAAGCCTCCAGGCCTTCAGAACAAAATAAACCATTGCAGCACCCTTTTTGGCCGCCGCCATCTTGTTTTTTCGCAAGCAGCAACAATAAGACATGATGATCCAAAAAAAAAATGTGAAAGGGTTAAAGTTATAAGACGAAAACACAGACAACTACCAGACCGTGGTAGCGACCTGTCAATCACAATGCAGCCCCGCCCTAAAGCATACCCTGCTTTATGATCCATTTTACTCTAAATGGAACCATAATTTACTAAATGTAATGGCCATTTAGTAAATTTCGCACTGTTTTTCCTTTCCAGGACCGGATTGTGAGCCTGATTGTAAAAAGAACGCAAGTGTGAACATGATTATGAATGTTGTAGACGGCATGTGGACCATACTGAGCCTGCATTGCTCTTGTGGTTGAATGGGACCAGATCCCTGCAGCCAGGTTCCACAATCTGATGGAAAGCCAGGAGGGTTCCTGCAGGACATCCTTTAGTAGATGTGGTGGCCATTGCATTGGGGTGAACCTGCCCTTTAATGTAACATTCAGCTCAAATTATACTAACCTCTCTTATCAGGTCAGTTGACCAGTGGTTGACCAAGGTTGTCACACAATGTAAATGATTTCTTGTTTCTTTGATTTGCTCTGGGATGAGATGCTCCTCTAAGCCTCTTTCATTTTGATTTCTTTCCAATCGTCCCTCCACACAGTGATGATCTGACTCTTTTGTGATATCAGCATTATCATGGTGCAGCAGAACTAAAGTGTACCATCTCTGCATTTGAAGAACACCTGATGTATGCTGTTCACCACAGACTGCTCACGTCTTCCCTTGTGAGACTGAGCTGCCTGTGTTCACCAGTCCCTCATGCACCGTTACAGTTTCACAATGACTCAACATGTCCTGTCCTGTTGTTCAGAATCCCTGAGCCCTGTCTCTGCCGGGGCTTTCTGCAGCGCTACGCTTTGCCATATCAGATTTGTTCCCTTTTTAAATGATTACATGCTTGCTCACCTATCGCAGTCGCTTGCAACTTGTCATATTTCAAAGGGAGTTTCTTTGGCGACCCCGCAAATGGAACACCCTGGGGAAGAAAAATGATTAGTTCAACTGGGTTCAAGAGGAGAAGAGGGTGAAATATATGAGGTGTGAAAGAATATCACACTTTTGGAGACACGGCAGGTTATAACGGCTTACATAAAAGTCTTAATAAAAACCAGCTGATACGCTGACACTAAACTGATCCTGGTGTGATGTGAGCCTGAAAGGCAACGGGTAGGAAAGCATTAGATGTAACAAGAAAAAAAGACGAGAGTTTCAGTTAGACTCCTACGCCGTGTTTCCCACAAAGGGGTGTGTGTGGGAGAAACTTTTGAACCTGTTCAGACTTGGCAGAAAGCTAAAACAGACTTGAACATACAGCACACATACACACACACAAGCTAAGGGTTGTGGGGCGGTTCTACTTTATTTGTTGCATGAATGTAACGTTCTGTGGGTTAAGAGAAATGGGAAGTTAGCTGATGGGATTGTCATTAGTTCTGCAGGTATTTTGTCATAAACCAAAGTATTGGACGACGTGAAATTTTGGCCTGATGAATCATAAGGTCAGCAACCAAGCAGGTGGTGTATGTTGTCAATCAAAGTTCAGTATGAGCATCTGACCACTTTGACGATATTTTCAGTCAAACCAATCCAAGCAGCGTTGAGTGTCTTTCAAAAACCTATTTGCTGCACTAGCACATTGGTAGTACTAGGTCGGTGCCCACTGGGGGCTTGGCCGTTAGCAGCGGGCCGATTGCTCAGACCCTCTGAAGTTCTAGAGAACTGCTCATCACCCCGCCTGCTGCACAGAGCACTGTTCGCTTGTTTATTAAGACTTGTTAATATTGAACCTGTCGAGTGTCAAAATTGCACCAACTCTAATACTGCACGTCCTTGCGTCCCCATCAGTACATCCACCAAGTGCGAAGTAGATGAGATGAACAGTTCTTGAAGTATGTGAAGGACACAGGGACAGACCGACAGACAGATAGAGATTGTTAGATACAACCAGGAAGACAAGTTCATCCTTAACATGAATGTCTGTACAACACATCATGGCGTTCCATCCAATAGTTGAGATACTTCACTCTGGACCCAAGTGGTGAACAACCTTCCACAGTACCGCACCACTAGCATGGCTAAAATAAGAGAAGAGGGTAGAGCCCAGAATGTAGAAGTAGTCCTGCCGATGTGTGCTTTTGTGTTGGTTTCCACTCAACCATTATTCAGACTCCTTCGTGGGCCGTCTGCTACAGTGGGAAGGACAGAGTGTGGTTGTGTGGCTGCTCATCAGCAGAACTGCACAGGTTCATTAGAGGAAGGTGGAAGGTCAAAGGTAACACACCCTGAAGTCAAACTGCAACTGTATTTTTTGCATCCACGATTTGGAGTATTTGATCATCAGGTAAAGATTTCAGCATGGAAACATTTGAAGTTGTAATAATTGTTTAGTCCAGTACTAAATGAAAGTACCTAGATACAAGAAGCAAAAGAATCCTCTGTTCAGCCAAAGCTGAAGGAAAAAGGAAATGTGTTGACACTGATTTATTGGAGTGTGTTTGCATTTTTGACCCTTATCTTGTTAGCATGGAGACATTTCTGAAGTATTTTACCCACATCACTAGCATCTGTATCATAAGAGCTACTGTTCATACAAAGTCAGTGCATGTCTAAAAGACACATCCTCACTCTCACACACACATTCTCTCCTTGAGAAGTGAACAAGCAGAACAGCTGCTTGTTGTTGGGCTTCTGCCGTTGAATATATATCCTTGAGGTCTGTGGTTAAGGCACCAGAGAGCTCAATGCATTTCCAATGAAAGTGCACAGATTACATATGTGCACGTACAGATAGGAGGACACTGAACTAGACATAACGAAAGAGGGGGGATGGAGTATAACTCCCATCATGTTTTATATATATATATTTTTTTTTTTTTCTTTCCTCGAGGTCGTGCAGGCTTTTCACTCTGGCCATCACAATAACATCTGATGAAACTGCTGCTGAGCTCAATACGAAAGCCAGCCAGCAACCGCTGGCCTTAATCTGTTTTAGGGGACCAAAGCAATTCTCTCTCTCTCTCTCTCTCTCACTCACTCACTCACTCACACGTGAAGATGTGATTGAAACAAATCCATCGGAGTGAGTTTAACCGTCAACTCACTCTCGGATTCAATTTGAATCGCTTGATTAAAATCTCTCTTGTCACATATAATACATATAGACTGTCTATATGTATTTCATAAACCTCTTACTCTTTCTCCCCCACTCCCTCTACTCAGTTCGACACTCTGCGTCATGCCATAAATTCATCTTCACATGCTCGAAAGAGTTAATTGAAAATGCGTAACCAACTTACTTTTATATACTATGTAAAATTACCTTGATGTAGTAATCTGAATTGAATTATTGCTATTTTACATGCTCCATTTAAAAAAGTTTTACTTGTAAAAGGAAGTCATTCCTTTGCAATTTGTAAAATCATTTTTAGTACATCTTGTATGGTGAAGTTCTTTGTTTTGTTGTCAGCGAATCCCATTTGCTAAACCAACAATGAATTTATCCCACTAATTATCTTCTTTTTTTTATCAATGAGCCACACTGTTGACATGTTAGCTTCATTATTATGAACACACGCACTCAAACCCACAAACACCTTCCTGCTGCCAGAAATACTCACTGGAGCACCAAATGTGGATTAATTCACTGCCTGAAATAGTCCCCAACAAATGTCCTCCTGTTTGAGTAACGTTTAATAGAAACTACAGTGACCAGCTTTTAAGTTTTTAGGAAATTGATTTTACTTTCTTTTTTTTTTTTAAATATATGAATGTTTTGTTTTGTTTTTAAGGTTTGCATCTTCAGTAGCGATCTTGGGCCTGGGGCTTTTCATGGTACTCAACAACATAATAGAAACAATAAAACAAATAAATAATTGATAAATAATTTATTTTTTTGCCGTTTGTGGTAAATGTAAAAGTAACACTGATTTATTTCACATGAACAGAGCAAGAGCAATAAAGAGGCAATTGACAGCTGATCTCTGGGAAGTTTAGTAAACATGGAATGATATTAATATTTTACATCTAAGATGAAAACGTTAATCTTTAATCAATCAGACTCATTACTGTGCAGCTTTGAAACCACAGAAACTACCATTAAAATGTACGATTACCCGTTCTTTCCCAGGGCTGGAGCACAGGGATAAAGTGCTTCTTCCCTACATGTTCTGTCAGATTTGTGTTCCTACATCCTACAAGAATAAACCATAGAGAGCTTGTAGATTGTCCCCTTATATTCCTATGATCCTTTCTCCTTCTCTCAGACTACCAGCGGTTGATGACCGTGGCCGAGGGCATCACCACCCTGCTGTTTCCCTTCCAGTGGCAGCATGTCTATGTTCCCATTCTGCCAGCCTCTCTCCTCCACTTCCTGGACGCTCCTGTTCCCTACCTGATGGGTCTGCAGTCCAAAGAGGGCGCGGACCGCTCCAAGCTGGAGCTTCCTCAGGAGGTACACAGCAGACCTTATGCTTTGTTAACTCCAGGCCTTGTGTGAACCTTCGGGTTGGGCTTTCTCCGCGGTTCAAGAAAGGCTAGAAGTTTTTGTTATTTTAGACATTTTTTATTGATATTATAGTATAGTGATCTTGGCATATATCTACAGTCTGTTATCATCACCTCTCACTCCTCCCTCACCCTCCCACTGCTTTATCCTCTCCCCCAGGGTCACACAGATCACAGAAAAAAATCAGATGTACACATACAGAAAAATAAAAAGTAATAAGACTAACAATAGTAGTGATAGTAATAATAATAGTAAATAATTAGGGAAAAATAATAATGCTATAAAAATTTATAAAGTAAGTAGGGCTTCAACTATCGGTTATTTTTGCTATTGAATATCTGCAAATCACCCTCTATCAATCTGTCGGTCCACAAAATGTCAGAAAATGGTAAAAAATGTCTGTCCCAGTTTCTAGTCCAAGGCAACGTCCCCAAATGTCTTGCTTTGTCAGTCCAAATATTAAAGATGTCCAGTTCAACATGATACAAAACAGAGAAAAGCAGGATATCTTCACATTTAGGAAGCCAAAAACAGCACCCTCTGACGTATCTGCGATCAATCGATCAATCGACCACCAAAACAGCTGCCGACCACCCTTCTGTCGATCAGTTGACCAATCGTTGCAGCTCTTTAAGTAGGTAACAATCAAATACACCCCTATATCTAAAATACTGCAGTGCCTGACATATCTTCAGACATTGTGTTCCAGTTGCCCTTTATGTACAGCATTTGCAATTTATTCATTTAAAGGAAATAAAAGACCCTCAACATAAAAACACAGCCCAGGATTAATCAAAGGTTCTGCTTGATCAACATATCAGATACTTATGCCTATTAGAGATAGTCTGATTAATAATCATTTCAATCAGGAGAGACTTAATTAGAATTTAACAATAATTTATTACACATGCATAAAACAATTGGACTCCATCCTGAAGTAGGATAATAAAGGGGTAGTGATGCTGAGGTCAGATAAGGCAGAATCCCCCTGGAGGCCAGACACTGGTGGTGGTGGTGATGAAGATGATGATGAGGAGCGTGACTGTGATGCTGACTGGAGGTGACTGGGGTGGAGGAGGGTTACATCTGATTTGAGCTGAAATGACAACTGACAGCAGCAGAGAGCAGAACTTTAACTTTTAAAGTTTGACAGCTACAATGTGATTGGCTTAAGGAAACTGTGCAGAATCTGGTTGGTTACTTTAAAGTGAACGCCCCCAATCAGCTGATAGAGCAGGGGTATTCAATTAAAATTCAACGAGGTCCATTTAGAGAGAATTTCCTCATGCAAAAGGTCCATCACAATAATGTCTAACTTTCACTATGTTTTAGTTCCATATGTATTGAAATAGCCTAACAGTTGTATTAATGTCTGTATGTAGTCAACAACTGACTGTCAAATTAAATACAGCAAGTTAAATTTAATAATATCTAAACAATATTTATTGTCAGATTTCAAATTGAACTGAATGAATTATGAATAATACATACTCTAACAATAAATAAATGTTCTTCTCTCGTTTTAAGTAAAATAAGGGCTGGATTAAAGAATAAATCACATAACAGAAAGCTTTTGAAAAATGTGACTCTTAAAATAAATAAGAAAAATGACTTTAACTAGATAAAATTCAGTTTAATCAGGTGTGACGTGATGTCACTCAAAAAAGCCACAATATTATATTTTCCTCATTATTTAACTCTGTGGTTGTTGAAACCCCTTGTTTCAGCCTCTCTTTACAGCATTTTTGGGCAGTGAATTCATGTGTTAGGATTCTAATGGATCAATCATATTGGGCTCAGACAGACAGGAAACTGTAAAAAAAAAATAGGACAGGGAATTACCTATTGTTCATATACACCTTAAGGCGAAGTGGATTTTCATTCTTCCTAATTTCCACTCTTGTCAGACAGTGAGGATGTGACTGGATCTAAACCAGTATTGTGCCTGATGCCGGGTTACGGTTAATTAGTGTGTGTGTGTGTGTGTTCATGTGTCAAAGCGAGATAAGGCAGAATAAAGCGGAACATCCAGGCTTCCGGCTTCGCTCACATCCCCCCCGACTCCTGGTGCTCGTTAATCTGGCACATTCCGTATGGATGCTAATTATCCCAGCCAGCACAGGAACACCCACAAGGCCCATCGTGCCTCTCCTCCCCTCCTCCTCCTCCTCCTCCTCCTCCTCCTCCCGCACACCGGGATCTCCCCTCCCCACCTCCCCAAAGCCCACTCAGACTGGTGGATCTCCCTGTGTTGCTGAATGATCCTTTGAAGTGGCTGTGACCTAGAAATGGGCTGATGATGAAAGAAGCAGAGGGAACTACGGATGTAATTGTGGAATTAATGCCAGACAGTGTTTGGCCTTCTGAACCCTGTACTTCAATCCATGTCTTCTTTTTTTTACGTCATATCAAATGATAACACTGTTACGTTTTCTTTGCAGAGAAGATTATGTGGCACTGTTGTCATCCCTTTTCTATATTTTTCTCCTCTTTTCTCTCATTGTGCATATGCAATTATTCCTAGTGGGCTTTAGATTCAAACTAGGGCAACATTTCTGGAGACAAAAAGGCTTCTGATATGCAGAGTTTGTTTGACTTCTTTTTTTTTTTATTATTATTTTTTGGCATTTTAGCCTTTATTTGACAGAGTAGAGGCAGAGCGGAAACAGGGAAGGTGGTATGAAATGCAACCAAGGCTGGAATCGAACCTGGGATCACTAAAAGTGCTGTAACGATACATGTCATCATTCACCGATTCACACCCATTCATACACTGACAGCTGGGGCTACCATGCAAGGTGCCACCTGCCCATCAGGACTAACTAACCCTTAATATGGGGATAAGTGTCTTGCCCAAGGACGCATCGACATGGCAAGCGCTCTAACCGCTAACCCTAACTTTGGCTACCAAGCCGCTCCTGCTTGAGTTTTTGTATCATGTTTTTGAATGTCTCCTCCAACATCTGGTGGTGGCTAATATATATATACTGTATATAGATATATAGATAGATAGCTTGTGATTAACACAAGTTACAGAGACTGTCACGTTTTCTTCTACGAGATAAAATAAGTCGGTTAATACCTCTCTGGTGAATTTAGAAGCTTTTACTTGTCTTAAAAAAGGCGGTTGCTAACAAGTGTCTAAATATAACGAGAGAACACTAGTCCTCCTTTATGACATGAAGTCATGTGACCATGATGTAGTTCCTTTATTTCCAACTTTTAGCTAATTACTTCTGTTGATTGCATTTACGCTTCAGAATTCATAAAATATCTTGCTGAACAAAACTTTTCAGTATCATAAATGATTGTTTGCCACACCGATTTTATTTTCCGCAATAATCCAGAATCCAATGTAAAAATCCCATTGTCTTTTTCTCAAGGGAACCAGTGTGATGCTAACTTCTGGGTTGGCCCCTTCAAAATACGTCATCCTTGCAGCACCTTATTGCATTGCAACCTTATAGGCAGCCCATATATGGTTGTTGGAGATTCCACCAGCACTTGAACACACCACGCACAGGGGTCCAACCTTCAGATTTCAATCTGGAGGTTATCTATCACACTCTATCTCTGTTATCTGGCATGTGTACGTCACATGGGTGGTTTTGAGAGGTTTAGAGTATAATCAGGTCTTACTTTGATCCCATATGAGGGTGTGATGCTAACTCCATTATGTCAGATTTAGGTTGATATCCGACAATGCGCTATTATCAATCACACACTGACCTACATTATCTGTACTCCACATGTCCGAGCCCCCGTCATTCCTCCTAAAACCGATTTGCCCTCAATATGACTCCTGATAATACCCTCACTCTACACCTCCTCCTTCTGTCAGTGGCACCCAAAGGATCTTTTCATGCTTTGTCTGTGATGTAGACATTTGGTTTAGTTTTTTTGGTACCAAAAATGTCAGTAATATCAATTTATATGGATGATTGTCTATTCCTGAGCTCAATTGTTGTAGTATTAAAATGTGTCCCGGTCCCAGGCCAACCTGTGTTTTGTGGATATTGACAACCACTACATCGAGCTTCCAGAGGACTTTCCCCAGTTCCCCAACAAGACCGAGTTCATCCAGGAGCTCAGCGAGGTGCTGCTTAGCTTTGGCATCTCGGCCAACACGGGGGCCCCACCGCGGACCCGCACCAGTCCCGGTAGCGCTACCGGCAGCACCCCCTCCACCCCAGCTAGGGAGCGCAAGACCGTCTCTCTGCGGCAGCTGGAGGACGACGGGCGCAACGGCAACCTCGCAGGGGACGAGCTGGCCGTGCTGGAGCTGCTGCAGGGGAACACCACCCTGGAGAGACTGCAGGCGCTCACCAAGCGCACCGGGGTGACGGTGGCCTGCGTGGACGCCCTGAGGGCCGGGGTGAGAGCTCAGGGCACCGAGGGGCAAGGGGGCCGGACGGCCGCAGAAGAGGAGGAGCTGAGGAATGCCAAGCTGAACGTCCAGCTGCGGGAGGTGTTCGCCAGCCGCTTCACTACCATGTTTGCCGACTATGAAGCCTTCGTCATCCAGAGTGCTCCGGACCTGGAGTCCTGGCTCACCAACAGGGAGCAGATGCACAACTTTGATAAGGTGACTAAATCTGCACAAAAAAACCCACTTCTTTCTGTACTAGATGTGTTTTTTAAGGGTGCTCCGATCAGGATTTTTGGAGCTGTTAACCTGTTGTTGGAAGCATGTCAGCCAATACCGATCACAGATCACAGGGTCTATTTGAAGCCTTGAAGCCTATTTATAATGGTGGATTTTTTTCAAATTAAGAGACGAGAAAGTACCATGAAACTGTTTATTTGCTGTCAGGCAACATGTAAAACATATTCCACTCTCTCTCATTAGCCTCTTTTATCCAGAGATTCCACTATACTGCTGTAAAGTAGATCCCACATTACATCGACTTAGCCGAAGTTGTGATGTATAACACAACAGCTTCATCGTTTAGTGTGTGTGTGTGTGTGTGTGTGTGTGTGTGTGTGTGTGTGTGTGTGTGTAGTCCTGCTATGCTGGTGATCCCTTTTACACAGACGTCAATTCAGCTCTGTGACTACCTCCACTGCCGGCTTAGCGGCGGAGCAACAACGCCGTGCGCCCCCCCTCCCATTATGTGTCCTTACCTTTTGTACAGAACAGTGAGGGTAAAAGGGACTTTAGAGACACGTCTCAAAACTCCAGTGAAGCCATTTCAGCGGTATATAGAGAAATTGTCCCACTATGTTTTGTGGTTCTTCTAATTGGTCTTTACAAAGTCAAGGTCAAACAATTTTGAACGAATATCGGTGGATCGATGGCAGATCCTTCAGAGCACTCTTACTTTTTAAAATATTTAATATTTTATACTAGCACATCCACTGCCTGCTGGTTCTTGTACTTCATCCATATTAAATTGAATTTTAAAACTGGATTTACCTGTAAAAAAATGTCTTGCACCTGCAAAACTGTGCATCCCGGCCACAGCAGTAGGAAGGAAAGCCCTGTTATCGACTACACTGTGTTTCAATACAGTCCAACTCACAATTTCATTTGTCTCATTAACATATTACAAACGGCTGAATGAGCGGCATTAAGTGATTTGATGGGTCGTAATCCTGTTAACTAAGCGAACCACACTGTGTGAATATCTCTGTTGCTGACTATATTGATGTTTAAAATTAATGATTACAATAAATTAATAAAGTTTACTTCTTAAAGGCAGGGTTAGTAATCTTGAATAACTACCAAGAGTATGCCAGATAAAAAAAATGATCCAACCTAAAAACTCTTCCCAGTGTTGCTAACTCTTCATTCACACTCTAAACTTCCTGTATTTGTCTATAGGAGCAAACGGGTGATCACAATTATTGAATCGGCGGTACATCCTTTTTGTTCTTGACTTTAATTTGCCTGAATGTATATACATTTCTCCTCCAGGCCTCGTTCCTGTCCGACCAGCCGGAGCCCTACCTCCCCTTCCTCTCCCACTTCATTGAGACGCAGATGTTTGCCACCTTCATCGACAACAAGATCATGTCCCAGTGGGAGGACAAGGAGCCGCTGCTCCGCGTCTTTGACGGCCGCATCGACAAGGCCCGCCTCTACAACGTCCGTGCTCCCAGCCTCCGGTCCTCCAGCTATCAGAGGTGCTCCATCCTCAAGGAGTCCGGTAAGCTCAGCAGGGAGAGACGCGAGTGAGGTTTTTACTTCACTTGATTAAACATGAAACGTGATTAGAATTGTAACAAACGTGGTTGGAGGGACCTATCAATCAGGATGGTAGATGTTTGAATCGGCAGCAGGTAAAGACCTCACTCATCAGCGTGCTACACATGTCTGTCCGTCCTTCAAAGCATGCTGGTCGTCCATTAGCCGACGTCAGACAGGATTGCACCGCGCCATGCAATTTAAAAGCACACACAAACACTCGTCTTCTATCTCCCTGTCTCCTCCTCCCCCTCTCGTCTCTCATTTTAGCGTAGCTCTTGCCAGTGACCAGAAAAAACATACTTTTCACTTCTCTACAACCCGACACTGCAAACACTCCATCAATCTCTGTCCCTCTCTCTCACACACACAAGCACAAGCACACACTCTCTGACACCGTCTTACTGCTAGAGTGTTTGCTCAGGCCTGTATTTTCTTAGTTAGTGCTGCGTGTGTTTTCCCTCTGTTAAGCCTTTAATTGGTGCTGAATGTGCAGAGTGAGGCAGGAGGTCCGACTCGGGACTGACTCAGAGAGGTGGAGGGAATCCAATAAATGACAGAATTTGATATTATGGAATGGTATGAATTCATACTGAAGCACTTTTATAAGCTGTTACATAATGATATGTTTGATATATCAGACAGATGACGGACAATTGAAAACACAGCTATGTCTGTAGCTATTCATGACAGTAGAGCAGACAGTGATTGTATCAGCTAGTTTGGCTCTGGTCGGAATGATCATTTTCACCCAGACTCCTTCCCTGCATTCTTTCAGTGTGTATGTGCGCGTGTTGATGTTGAGCTTTTCATTGGCATCTGCAATTAAAGCTCAACGAGCCCACACTGTTTAATGCTAATGGAACGAGCGATGTTGAGCTTTAATCGCAGATGGCAAGCTCATTTGGGGGCGATGGCGCGTGCAGGTAGCCAATCACTCAGACAATAGGCCGCCTGCCTTCCCCTGTGGAAGACTCGCTCTGGTGCCCTCGCTCGCTACTGCAGCTCCTGTCTGGGTTCAGTCACACACAAAACCGGTTCAATGTTCAAGCATGCAGGGCAACATAACCTAGACAACAAGCAGCTGCAGACAGACGGTCGGCCGATGATAATAATAGTGTGATAAGAGAAGATAAAGCAGGTGACGGAAACAGAGGGAAGAGTCAGTTTGGATCCCTGGGGTTAGAGAGGGAGTAGTGAATGGGTCAGACACAGTGTGCATAACCGCTCATGTTTGTCAGGTCTAGGTTTACATGGCTGTCTCTTCAAGCTCAGTCCCACAATGCATTTGAAACGTGTACTCTGTGTTTGTCGTGCATTTGTAATTGTTGGACGTCGTTCCTTGTACCTGCTGAGAACCAAGAACAAGTTTGGTTAATCGTTTTTACCATGTGAAAGGTTTAGCGATGTTGCGGTGTTCTCTGATCTCAGTAATTATGTTTGTTGAGTACAATATTATATCATCACAGTAACTGATTTTAAAAAAGAGACGTAAATAAGACCCAAGTTACTACAAATGGAATTATGCATTTGATTTTCTCTGCATCGACTTTCTATGATTATATGGACTGTAAAATTACCACTAAACTTATACTAATTGTTCCTTTTCATATTCATGTTTAGCATTATTTCAGACTTGACAAAGCTCCTCCAGAGCCACAGAGGACTTAAAACAAGTGTTTTTTAAAGTCTGGTAAGACTCACCATCTCAAGTCAGTAGAGGAAACTGACCCTGATGTGTAAAAACAGGTGTACACCAGGGGTTTTTCATTCAAATTCAAAGAAAAAGGTCAGAAACTCATAATGTCTAAATTGTGTCTTACAGCCCACCCCTACATCTATCAAATACAATCAACAAAGTACATTTCCATATGAGATTAAACAATATTTATTTTTAATTTCCGAAGGAGTAACATACAGACACATTGACCTTGTATGGCACTTGCATATAAAAAACTATGCGTAGCCCTTTTTATCCTTTTTTTTTTTTCTTTTTTTTCTTACGTTTTCCTTACCTAGGGAGAGAAATGGGTGAAATGAAGTGACCGCATCTTGGCTTGAATGGAGTTAGTGTAATTTCTCATGCACACTTGTAGCTCACTGGTGAGCCTGGAACCAGACTTGGCGTTGCTGTAGATCGGCACAAACACGGTCGGGGTGTGTTGTGCTGCTTTGGTTAAACCAAAGAGAAAAGAGTCTGTAGTCAGAAAGTAGCTTCATCTCTCACAGATGTTGGCTAGATGTTCCCTCTAGCCAACTGTCTATGCACAGTAAACAATCGATTTGATTGGGTCAATTGAGTGAAGCTATGAACCGTATTAACTGGATTAGCAGCATCTGCGATTTATAGCAGTGACCATTGGAGAAAACACTCAGTGAAGATTTATTTTCTTTATTCATGAATTCGTCAAACATTGGTCACGGATCCCGATAGAACCGTCACTCAGTCTGGGTCCGGACCGCGGCCCACTTTTTGGTGATGCCACGTGTATGCAATTCCCCATTTCCCTTCAATACCGTGACTATAACTAGACTCCTCCACCAGCTACATTCAGTTGTGCTCCCTGTGACTATGATCTTTGCGTGAGCGTTGAATTGTGTCTCCCCCTACAGCTCAGGCCATCGAGCAGCGGCTGATGAAGATCGACCACACCGCCATCCACCCGCACCTGCTGGACATGAAGATCGGTCAGGGCAAATACGAGCAGGGATTCTTCCCCAAACTGCAGGTCGACGTGCTCAACATGGGGCCGACCAGTAACAAGTGAGTCCACATTCCACATCGGGATTAAAATCCACACACTAAAGTGGCAGATGAAGTCAGCACTTCAGACCAACACCTGACTGATTTTGACACTGTTGCTTTACGTCATGCTTCGGGAATGGTGTGAAAAATCTTACTTTGTTTGCTGTATTTTAGAATGGACTGAATCAGTCAGAGCTACAATACTAAGTGCATCGTTCAGCAAGGAAATAACTTGAAGTGAACGTGTGCTTTGACACAGGATCTAATAAAACGGAAATAATATAAGTTATTTATTCTTTCTGTGCGGCCCGGTACCAAATGACCCACGGACCGGTACCGGTCCGCAGCCCGGTGGTTGGGGACCGCTGCTATAACGGACTGTTGAGAGTAGAGAGATGACTAGAAAAGAGGGAGAGAGATGGGGAATGACATGCAGCACAGGCTCCTGGTCAAACATTAATCAGAAATGCAGTTTCCTCAATCTGATCTGCTTGTGTTTCATTTTGAACAGAGCCAGCCTTGCTGTTTCCCCCTTTATGCTAAGCTAGGCTAACCATGTCCTGACTCCAGCTGTGTACTTAAATATTTGGACATGCGCTTTTTGACTCGTATTCTCGTATCTCTCTTAAAAACGAAATTGAGTATTGTTATTCACCAAAATGTTGAACTCCTTCCTTAAAGTGTATCAAACAGAAGGGTCATGGAGAAAGCAATGATTTGATAACCTCTATCTTGTATTTGGTTCAGAGGAAGGTAGATTCTGTGAATGGCAATGTGTTAATGAATTGTATTTCGAAGGGCTTTGAAATCTTTTTGGAACTGGTCTAATGACACATTGTTTGAACTGCAGGTGGTCTCACAGGACGGCGACAGCTCAGCGAAGGAAAGACCGTCACAGACAGCAAACGGAGCATCTGGGCCTCGACAACGACCTGAAAGAGGTAGAAAAACCTCCTCGCAACCGTCCCATAACTTGCCCCGTTGCCTCCTCTGTTCTCTAACGCTATGGTATCGTAAAAGCACGTCGTTATTTTCTCTTTGTCTCATGGCGTCATATTTTTGTTGGTTTTCGTTCTGCATCTGAATTTTCTGTTGGTTTCTGTTTGAGCTTTCTTTGTCATCATTTTTGGGAAACTTCATGTGCATGCTGCCTTCTGTTGTCCTCTCCATTCTGCTCTTTTGTTCCTGTCCTCTCCTGTCTGTTTGTGTGTCCTGTTCCTGTCGGTCCGGGGGTTCGGGTCGTACCCTTCTTCCTCCTCCTCCTCCTCCTCCTCCTCAGCAGGTGGAGGGCTGTCTGGTCCTGCAGAACTCCATGGCGTTTTGGGAGTGGGACAAAGCGTCCCCACCGCCTATCAAACCACCTAAAAAATCCACCTCTGCGTCCTGCCTGGTATGTGGAGGAGCTGCCTGTGTTGTGGACTTCCTCTGTCAGACCCCTCCACCCCATACCAACCTCACACTCACTGAAGCAGCGGTGGTTGGGGGGAGCAGTTTAATCCAGCTCTGATGTGGTGTACTGACAGTGAACCGTAAACAGTCACGGGCAATATCAATGAGATGAAATTGTTCGGGATTACATGGATGCATTGTTTTCCTGTCAATGCCTAGTGCTCAGGTCAGCAACCTGAGTCCACCGTGGGAATGGCGGACTCCGCCACTACCAATAAAAACTACTACTATAGAGAGAGATAACTAGTGAAAGTAAATACATAGAATTGCTACTGCAGAAAATATGTCTAACATAAAGAGATTATCAAAAGTAGGGTTTAATTTTATGATAATAACTTTTATATAATTTTATATATTAATATTATAACTTTAAAGGTACTAAATTTGATATTCAGAGCATTAATATAGCATCAAACAGCTATTTATCGGGTCAGGCCTAATCTGGTTCGGACAAAAAAAATCTATATTTAATTAATCATTATTGCAGCCTAAAATCACACCAGGCCAGACCAGGCCCTCAGAAGTTTTCTGAGCTGAAAAAAAACTAAAATGAATCAAAGAAAGAGCAGTTGGAAAGTTCTTATTTTGAGGAAGCACTCTGAGCTATGGAACATTGTGGAAAATATCTGGTACTTTAGTTCTGGCTTCAGTGGGAAGTCAACTCACCAAACCCCCCAACACTCCCACTCCTTAAAGGACGCTCCGGCTTTCACTCCTCTCCTGTGTCACACCCTTTCCTCTTAACTCACACCAATTCTTTGAGTTGGATTTTCACATCTTGTCACTTGAAAAACAGCTGATTGATGTTTGTCTGATGGACCTTTTAGTGTCTGCGCTATAGATAAAGCATTTTTCTCCAGAGCACACTAACCAGTTACGTTTGATCTCCAGAAATACATGCAGGAGGCCCGCAGCCTGGGGAAGAACCTCCGGCAGCCCAAACTGTCTGATCTGTCTCCTGCCGTCATTGCCCAGACCAACTGGAAGTTTGTGGAGGGGCTGCTCAAGGAGTGTCGCATGAAGGTGAAACATACGACAACAGCATGTCCCTGCACTTAGAGACAACCTGTGATCAGTGACCTCCTGACACCTTTACTTACTCACACACACAGTCACAAACCCAAAGCTTTGAGGGGAATCATCCCTCATGAATGATGCATGATGGGAGAGACAAAGGTATAAGGCTCGTTGGAGAACTGCTTCTTGCCTGGAAAGTAGACGAGAGCAGGCGGCAGCAGCAGGGGACGTTGACAAAAAACTGCCGCCTTCAAAGAATAAACAGGAAGTCAAAAGAAACAGTCACTTCCCGTTAGATCTGATCTGTAGGCCACTTGTAGTTTACAGATCTCGTTAGGATTCATGTGTGTTTGTAAATATATATTTATGTGGAAATGTGCGTGTTTCTGTATTGTATGCTATCCTTTGTTCTTTTTATGTCTGCCTGTAAAACACTTTGCTGCTCGTTGTGATATGTGTTAAATATAAATAAGCTTTATTATTATCGACCACATAAGATAGGTTTAATCTAAAAACCTTTCTTACACAACATGAGACTAATACCCAACAATCTAAGAGCCAATCAGCTTTCTGATCGGGCGAGAGCCATGCGTTTCCCATCATGCTTTGGGTCATGCAGTCGGTGGAGAGCAACTGCGGCGCCTGGCTCTAAAATCTGTGGCCGCCTCGCTCTTCTGAGGTTATAGTCGACCACGTGTTCATGACGCGAAAAGCAAAAGCTCCCCCTATCGACGCCAGTCACTGTCACTTTAAACCAAAGTTGATATCAGACACATGGAACATCCTCTTTGTAACTGGAACCAATGAAATTGTGGTCATAATTACGATAAATAGTGCTACTGGTATGAGACATACATTGCTAATAGACTCAGCTATTGTAATAGTTTTTTATAGTTTGCATTGCATATTAAAATACCTCTTGGTAGACTTTATAATTTGACTTATTACATTACTTATTTACTTTATTCTTTACTTATTTATTTAGATTTTCAGTCATCTGTTTATGTGTTTTCTGGATTGTTCAGGCTCGTCATTTTTTCAAATAAGTGAGTTTGAATTAGAATGATTGACAAATTCTCTCTGCATCTTGGAAATATTTAGTTTGAAGCATAGTGTTATGTTTTGCACCAGAGTACACTGGAATTATTCAGCAAGATTAATAATTCCTAGAACTCTAAAGCCTTTAAGCCATATAGTTATCTGTGTGTGTGTGTGTGTGTGTGTGTGTGTGTGTGTGTGTGTGTGTGT